GTGCGGCTGGGGGGGGGGGGAGGGCGGCGTCCGCGAGGCTGGCTGACTGGGGTGCCGCCGGGTTTGCGGCGTCGGCGCCTGGGCAGCACGCCCCCGGAACCCCCTGCGCCAGCGCCGGCGCGCCGCCCCAGCCGGCAGCGGCTTTGCTGCCCCCCCGTCCGGGCATGCGCACGGCCGGCGCCCACGAACGGGCAGGCGGGCGGCGACGTTTCTCGCGCGCGGCTGTGTCGGCAGCAGCGCCGGGGCGGGCGGCGGGCGGCAGTCGGGTCAGGTCCGGCCTGCAGTCCATTCCACTCCGCGGCTTGTGATTGCCCTCAATCACCCCGGCCGGCGCGCCTGACCCGCTTTCTTCCCTCGGCCCGGCACCCCATTGAATGCGCCGGCGCCCCCAGGAGTTGATCACTGAACTGATAAAGGCCAGCCCCAGCTACCGCCCCCCCGCTGACTACCGACCGGAGAAGAAAGTCCGACGCCTGCGCATCCCCCAGGTGGCTGGGGCTGGCCGCACGCGGCTTGTCTTGCGCACAGCTTCGACGCTAATTGATCGTGGCGGGGGCCAGAGGGGTGTGGCTGACCCCACGCCCAATCGGCGCTTGAGCGCACCCACCCACCGGGCCGCTTTGGCAGGGCCGAAGTCTTATGTATACATACATACATACCTGCTCATGCACTCTTGATGCTAACACGCCTCCCCCAACCTCTCGACCACCCCTCCTCACCCCTACCCCTTCCACCACTCATAGCCGCACCTGCGACCCCCTTCCCCTGCCCCCTTCCGCTGCCCGCTCGCGCCCCCACACCCGCGCCCTTCCTCCTCCTGGACACCCACGCCCCTCAACCCCCCAGGAGGACTTCCCGGGGTACAACTTCATAGGCCTCATCATCGGGCCCCGCGGCAACACACAGGTCTGGTCCATATGGGCGCGCTGCGCGCCAGCACCCTGGCGCCCCACACCGAGAGGCCCGAGGCCGCCCCACCAGCCTGGTCAGGGGCGGCCGGTTGCATTGGCGCGGGCCCCGACGCGACGCGGGCATGACCGGCGGTTTCTCCACCCCCTGCTCTCGCGACCCCTCCTCCTGAGATACCTCGCGCGCTGCGTTGACCTGCGTAGACACCTTACATAAACACCCGCCCGCCCCGCCGCCGCCGCCGCTGCCGCGCGGCCCCGCAGAAGCGTCTGGAGAAGGAGACGGGCGCCAAGATCGTCATCCGCGGCCGCGGCAGCGTCAAGGAGGGCCGCGGGCGGCCGCCGGGCGCGCGGTCATCGGACCCCGCGGATGACGAGGACCTGCACGTCCAGATCACAGCCGATGACGAGGACGCCTTGGACAAGGTGGGGCGCGTGGGGAGGGGGGGCGCGGGGTGAAGGGTGCTGGTTGCGGTGCGTGGCCTTGGACCCGCGACCCTTTCAATTACAGTACCACCCTTGGACGTCTTACCCTTTGAACCCCCATCCCCTTCCCCCAGTTGAACTCCTAGCCTGCAACCCTCATCCCCTGTCAAACCCCTCCCTTGAACCCCACGCCCTTGCCTCCCCCCCCCCCAGGCCAGCGCCATGGTGGCCAAGCTGCTGTCCCCCCTGGATGACGAGGCCAACGAGTGGAAGAGGACGCAGCTGCGGGAGCTGGCAGCCATCAACGGTGAGGGCGCGCGCTTGCGCGCGTGCGTGCGTGTGTGTGTGTGCGTGGG